ACGTGGGGAGGGCGCGGTTGGCAGACAAATGTAGAAGGCCCATGTTACCTGTGTAAAAATATAGGAATTTAAAAGGGGTATAAATATATTTTTACATAAAATTTTTTTTTATTATAAAGCTTTATAAAAGGAAAGAATATTTAATAGTATTCTCCAGTACAACAAGACTATTTCAACATCAGAAAAAATAAAACTGAAAAAACATTAACAAAATTGCTCCTTTTAAAAAAAAAAAACAACTTAAAATTCCCTTTAAACTCACCAACAACAGTATAGTAATTTCCACTTCAAATACCTATCTACCTAAATATGTTTTACTTAATATTTTAAGTTAACATGTTTCTCAATACCTAAAAATACTTTGTGGTGAAATTAGTTCCTTTATGTAGCCTTTTGCTTTGGTTCTTTGGAAAAATAGCTTGAGAGATTTTTCCCCTAAGCCTTGAGGCGTTAGTTTTGCCCTAGTTTTCTACCCCAGAGGGTTTGTTACTTTGTCTAGGTTGACTGACATTTCCTGGGTTAACTATAAACAACTTGGTTTGATACTTTTTGTCTGGTCCTGGGCTGCAGCCTGGCCTGTGACTGGTATGCACCTTGCAGGGATTGGTCACTACGCTATGCAAATGAGGTGAGTTGTAGCCCTGTTACCAACAGAGGAGCCTGTCCTCAGGGGGCCAAGAAGAGCTTAGAGAGCTGTCCTGCACTGAAGAAGGGAGACTCTGCCTACATGTTTCCTAATTCTGATTCCTGAGTTGTAGCCTGTTGATCCTGATCCTGAGTTATACCTTGTTCCTTAATAAACTACTTAACCGTAAGTAGAGTTTGTGAGTTCTGTGAGACACTGTACTGAACTGCCGAACCTAAACGAGTGGGGAGAAGGGAAAGAGTGCTCAGGGGAGAGAGAGTGGCGGGTGTCAGAGATGAAGTGGTACAGCAGCTTGGAGAATGTGGAAATCTGGGATATATTTGACCTCTACCTCATAGGAATTGGCTTTGTGCTGATTCTTATATTTGTATTCACACATACTCCAAGGTTTTTTTTAAACCTTATTATAGAATTTATCTCACACTTACAGCTTTCCACTCTACCTAACTTCCAGTTTGCCCCCACCGAAAAAAAAAAAAAAAAGCATGCTGGAAGCATTTTAAAAATACTTTTCTTTTCTTTTTGCAATTGTACTATTTCCTGACTAATTTTAAAACATAATTCATTTTGATGCTATTCTCAAGATGAATTTTTCTTGAAGACCTGGAAGATTACAAAACCATTTTTTATTAGACTTAATCTCTTTAAAATCCTTCCTTGTGAATTAAAATGCAACCATTAACTAAAAACACTATTGGTTAGAAACATGCATATTTTAAAATGCCCTTATCAGTAATCACAAATACATGCAGATAAAATTATTTGAAAAGCACCTCCCATTCTTGTACATTTTTTCTCACTACACTAAATTCTGATTTCATGAACTCAATTTTCCATAGTTTAATTCATTTCTCAAATGCACTTGATGAATAAATATTCCTGTTGCTTGCTGAAAAATTAACACTGAAGAGAAGTCAAAGGTTCCTATTATAAACTAATGCATTTTCAGTGACTTCTTTAAAAAATGCAGTTTCTATGCTTTATATTAGTACCAACAAACACTTAACATTTTTATGATGGGTAATTATGGATCAGTATTAGGAGAGGATTAAAAAAAAGTCTATGCTCCTTATGAAAACTGAGCTCAGTGACAGCCTGAGAGAACAAATTCTTAATGACTACTGTATCAGTACTTGCTACGGGAGAGTACTATAAAAGCAGTATTCTAATTCACATACATAAGTAATTTATTATTTCTGACATTTCATCTCACCTTTCTTCTCTGTCACCCTTGCCAAAAAGAATAAGAGAGGACAACCTACGAACTGGAAAAAAATCTCTGGAAACCATATATCCAATAAAGTTTTAATACCCAAAATATATATAAAATTTTTACAACTCAGCAACAAAAAGACAAATAACCCAACCAAAAAATGGACAAAGGACATGAACAAACACTTCACCAAAGAGAATATTCAAGTGGCCAACAAACGCGTGTAAAGATGTTCACTGTCATTAAACTAAACTCATTGCCACAGAGTCAATTCCAACTCATAGCGATCCTACAGGACAGAGCTGAACTGCCCCACAGGGTTTCCAATGAGTGGCTGGTGGATTTGAACTGTTGACCTTTTGGTTAGTAGCTGAACTCGTAACTACCAGGCCACCAGGGCCTCTCACTAAGAGAGATGCAAAACTACAATGAGAACCACCTCACCCCTACTAGAATAGCAATGATCAAAAAAACAAAGAAAATAATAAATGTTGGCAAGGCTATGGGGAGATCAAAACCCTTATCCACTATGGTGGGAGTATCACCGTTTTTGGAAAATATATGGCGATTCCTCAAAAAACTAACAACAGAACTACCATATGACCCAGAAATTCCATTCCAAGGTATATATACCCTAAAACCTAAAAAATCAAACCCGCTGTGATCGAGTCGATTCCGACTCATAGCGACGCTATAGGACAGAGTAGAGCCGTCCCATAGGGTTTCCAAGGGGCAGCTGGTGGATTCAAACTACCAATCTTTTGGTTAGGAGCCATAGCTCTTAACCACTGTGCCACCAAGGCTCCAAATACATAGCCTAGGGACCTAAAAATAGCAACACAGACACATGTACACCTGTGTTTACTACAGCACTATTCATAATAGCAAAAAGATGGAAACAACCTAAGTGCCCATTAACAGACAAATGGTTAAGTAAAATGTGGTACATACATACAATGGAATACTACTCGCCACAAAGAGAAATTAAGTCCCGATACATGCTACAACACGAATGAACCTTGAAGGCACCATGATGGGTGAAATAAGTCAATCACAAAAGGACAAATACTGTGTGATCTCACTTATATGAAAAGATAAGAATAGGTAAATATACAGAGACCAGTGGGTATTAGTGGTTATCAGGGGTGGGGGGAGGGAGGGAGGAAATCACTCTCTGGAAAGTAGTGAATTTTTGTCTATGGTGATGGGAAACTGACAACAGTTAAGGACAATGGTTATACGACTTGACTGACATAGCTGATAACACTAAGCAGTACACCAGAAAAAAAGGCGAAATGACAAATGTGCTATACATAATTTTACAGCAACAACAAAACCAAAAAATAAAAAGGTGCAACTGCTGATACTACTTAGGTATAAACAAAAACCTCATGGGATTAGTTTACTTGGTTGAACAGCATGGGGCCATGGTTTTATTGGGCAATCCAGTTAATTTGCCTAATATTGTTTTTAGAGTTTCTGTTCTACTTCCTAGTTTGGTGAGTAGTGCCTAGAGTCAGAGCTTACAAGTGGCCATCCAAGATACAACAGTTGGTTTCTATTCACCTGGCGTAGCAGAGAAAGAAGAAGAGCCAGGAATCAGAGAAGGAACTGGACTACAGATCTAACTGCCTCCATGAACTACTGCCTCCTTTGCCATGAGACCAGAACAACTGGATGGTGCCTGGCTACCATTACTGAACATTCTGATCAAGGACTCAATACATGGATCAAAATGAGGAAAAATGTACAACAGAATTTCAAATTCCTATGGAATCTAGATTCACTGGACCCACTGAGACTGGAAGAACCACTGCATCTATTGCCCTGAAATAAAAAGAGCACTATACTCTTTTAAAGAATTATCTATGAGAGATCAAATTGACAACAGGAACTCCAAGGCATAAATGAGAAGTTTAAAGGTGAATGACACAATATAACCAATGTCACTGAATTGTACACGTAGAAACTGTTGAATGGGGTGTATGTTTTGCTGTGTATATATTTTCACTAAGAATAAAATTTTAAAAACAGAATAAGCGAGGGATTTTGCCATATACTAAATAACCTGGAGAAATTATTCATAGATACGTTTTCATATAAATCACTCATTATTTCTCAAAATATTAATAGCAGAGCTGTTAGAGTCCAATAACGTATACTACAGACATTAAAGAACTGAAAAATTTTCATAAATTGTAAATGAAACTTTATATTAACTGGGTACTGGATATTATTTGTCTTTTAGTTTCTTTAGGAAACTTGCTGCCACAGGGAGAAAAGTACCAATCAGTTATATAAAATATTATACTCAATATTTTATTATTCACAATTATCACTAATTTACAAATTATTATGGGTCAAAGGTAACTAAATATAAAGTGATAGAAGGTTAATTTAAAAAATTTTGCTGTTTCTAATAAAATCTTTTCCTTATCCACTAGTAAGTTTTAAAAACTCTGACCACAGAAAAGAACACAAGATTTTAGACCTTAATGAATAAGAATCAATACCTGGAAATAGGAATATAACTTGTTTTCTATTACTTTTCAATTATCTAATTATCTTTCTAATTTAAGACTAAGACTTAGGTGTCTATTTTCTAATCTTAAAAACAGGAAAGTATCAGCTCTTTACTTAAGAACTAGCTAAAACTATATTAATTAAAATGTAGCCTATTAGTTAAAATTAGTAATTAGTACTCTGTTGATCAAATGGCATTTTACTGTTATGCTAACTCAATTGTTCATGCTCTCACCTTAAGAGCATGCATAACAAATTGAAAAATCCACAATCACACTATAAAATAATAATTAATCACAGAATAGTTACATATAGACCTCTTTTGACAATATGTCAAATTTTAAATCCCATTAGAAAAATATAAAGAAAACAACCTTTACAATCTTAGTGTTTACAAATCTTTTACTCTCCTGTCAATTTCATAGACTGACATTTCTTTTAATATTACATACGACATGCATATAATTTTAGTTCATCTATCATTACACTAAAAATAAGGTGAATAATGTTACTAGAGAAAATTATTAAATCATAAAATAGTATTTACATGGAAATCTTTCTGTAATAATTAAATTAGTACAACAACTATATCAAAACTGAAGAAATACCAAATTTTACCTTTTCTGTATTGTAATATAAAGATTTCAAAGTAGTAAACAAAGGTGGGCAGCCTTTACTGAAGTTAACCCTCAGGAACTTATCCATTAGTTCTCTAAATTTTTCACCTAGAAACAAAAGTGTACTTTGTTATACTTTGATCAATGCAAACAATTCTTAAAATGATTTTATAACCATAAATGAAACTTCCTCAGAAACAATTATCCCCTTATCCAATTTTTAAGCCCAAAAAGTAAGTCAGCATCATTTCTTGTTTGTTACCATCAAAAAGCATAACACCAAATATCTCAGTTGGCAACTGTATTTTTCCCTAGATGGAGGTGCAAACTATCCTCAAGAAACACTTCAAAAGATAGGTAAACAAAATGATCATGCAGCTTTAAGTAGAGAACAAAAGTGGTCTACTATACATTCTGAATAGCAAGTATGTTTCACAATCTCTCATGAACTAGAAGACTCAGTCCTAGCATCTACAACCCAAAACGCTGAAAACAACTCAAAAAGCACTATGCAAACTAGAAAAACATTCTACTATAACCCGCACTATATTCAAGTAGCAACCAAAACATCTTTTTAAACACTACAGTGGTGTTTACAAATGTTTTTCAAATCAAAAAATGATTTACTTAAACATTCATTCATTCCACAATCATGTAACAAGCACCAGGCATTTTTCTAGGTACTGAGGATACAGTAGTGATTAAAACAGATTTTTTTTAATCCTGCCTTCATGGAATTTAACATTCTAGTGGGTGAGATGGACAGTAAGTAAAATAAAAGAATGTCAGATATTAGACTGAGCCCTGGGGCAACCAAACAGTTAAAATAAGAAATACCCTATTTGCCACATCAAATAAATAAATCTCCTATTATTGCTAAACCCTTACCAAAAATTTGGAGTCAGTTTTTAGAGAAGAAAAAATTGAAAGAATATTTTAATACAGAGGTTTTCTTTTTTTTAAAGTTTATATGAACTTTTTGACAGTAACGGGTTAACGTATAAGAATATAGATTTACCTACTCATTTAAAAAAAAAAAAAAAAGATACATATATGTCATGAATGGTTTAGCCAAAGTAAGACTATTTAAATGATCTCTTAAGGTTTATGGATCACAACACTGCACAAAAAAAACCTAACAACTCAAAGTGGTTATTTTTATTTGTTGTGACTGTGTTGAACAAAAACATGCATACTCATATAATTAGATGTCAAAAAAATTTCAAAGGAAAATTTAAACTTTATTGAGGGGAAGATATATCAGATATTTAAAAAAGGGACACTTATTAACTCAATTTACTACGGAGATTGTTTTCAGATAAACTTTAATCTGTCATTAGCTCTTAAAGCATAGGTCTTTTGAAAATCACAGGCTGCTAAGACAACACAAAACTTCACTCTGGGTTAAATATACATCATTACTTCCTTAAAAATCAAGAGCAGTTTCAAAGACGAAATCTTTCCAGCACTTCCTCTAGTATACGGCAATAGTTAACAACACTGTGGTGGATAAGACATGCTGTTGCATACAGACATGCCTACTCCTCCTCTTATTATGTGTCTGACTGTGGGCAAACGGCCTGTCCACTCAAAAATTTCAGTTCGGCCACCATAAAATACAAGTAGCAGTAACAGTACCACCAGCCAAGACAATACTCGCATGGTTTAAACAAGATGATGAAGGTATGGCACTAAGCACAGTGTCTGGCATATAGTAACCACTCAATAAATACTGGTTACCATCATCTGCCCTGATACCTGAAGAATATTGCATTTCTATAGTTAAGACTGGAAACCCTGGAGGCATACTGGTTAAGTGCTATGCCTGCTAACCAAAAGGCTGGCAGTTCGAATCCACCAGGCACTCCTTGGAAACTCTATGGGGCAGTTTTACTCTGTCCTATAGGGTCGCTATGAGTTAGAGTCAGTTGGACGGCAATGGGTTTGGGGTTTTTTTTTTTTTTTTTTTGGTTTATAGTTAAGATTCTGTTTTCCATGCTTTGTCTCACCCACTTAGAAAACAAGCATTTTATTTTTATGTCAGAGGTTACTCCAAGTTCCTTCCTTTGGTCAACTTCCTCAGTCTATTTAGATCCTACCGGCAGATTTTATTTAAAAGACAATACACCCAATTCTCAATTATCCATAACACTGAAAAAGCCTCTTCTCCCTTAAATGTTACTGTGACTATGCAGCTATGAGAAAGAATGAGGAAGCTCTTTATGTGCTGATAGAAGACTGATCTCCAAGATAGCAAGTTAAGTGAAAAGTAAAACAAGGTAAAGGGCAATGTATGCTACTGCTTGCTGAAAAAAAAGCTGGGGTTGGGGGGACTATACACACAGCACACATACACATTTTGCTTGCACACGCACAATGTATTTCTGGAAGACTATACAACCAACTGGTAATAATGGTTGTCTCTAGGAGAGTGAACTTGGTGGTCAGGGGGCAAAGACAGGAGGAAAACTTCATTTATAAACCCTTTTTTACCCTTTTAATTTAGAATTGTATGCATGTATTACCTAAATAAAAACCCCAAACATAGCTACTCTACCGTTTAGTCACACACCATATCCCACAATTATTACTTATTTATAATCCATCTCATAATCTTTTTCTTTAGGTGTAAGGAAAACCTTTTTTAGAAAAAACAGATTATTTCCCTCCTTCCTATTTATTTTTTTAAAGAATGCTTTAGTATCCCACAGTCTTTAAGGGAAAGATAGACCATTGATCAATAAGTACCTGTTTAACATGTCTCACAAAACAGGTTCTCTGATTTCACAGACTCTGCTTAACTGTTCTGTGGATTCACATAGAAACTGGTGTCCCAATAACCATGCTAAAATAATCAACATAAATAGCACGATCAAACTGTTTCTGACTCACTCAATACGTATTCTAAATAACAGAGCAAAATCTAATTAGCATTATTATGTTTAATACTCTTACTCCAGATTATCTCCTTCCCTCACCAACCTGCAGCCAGCAAAGAATAATAGAACATGATAAACTAGTTATTTTGAAGAGTTGCTTTATCCCTACATTATATTCATAGAACTTAATATTTTAGGGTGTTGGGAGTTTCCTCAGGACTTCTGCTGTATTCACTGCTCTATAGGTCTTATACCGTTTTATCTACAAAACAGTAAGCCTTTTTCAAAACTTTTACCGTGCATTCTCAAGTTCCATTACAGTTCCTGCTTTTGATAATGCTGAGATGCCTTTTTCACTGCACATAAAAATATTTACAGATAGGCAAAAAATCTTCATAAAGTATTCAACTTTTGCAAAGGTACATTTCCACAATTTATATAATATGTTCACTGAAGCTTTGTAAATACACGTACATTAGAACCTCACAGAGATGCTGACCTTGAAGCCCACGCTATCAGACCCCTCAACTGAGACCTATTATGTAAAAAGACCCTTTCGGCATTTCAAAGACAAAGTGTTCCAGAGGGTCCAGGATGGTTCTACTTGGACCTGAATTGTACTTTACAACGAACAGTAGGCTCCAGGCTATCCTTCAGTAAAAATATATTTCCTACCATGTACTAAGAGCTTTTAGTAAACTTTGTTGACTCTAGAAATAAATTTAAGCAGAATAAATTTAAAGCCCCATGTTTCAAAACAGAAAATAGAACAAAGTCTTGTTTATAATCTTAAAGCTAAATGAAGTTTTTTTCTTTCCTGAGAGACAGCTGAATGCATGTAAAGCCGCAGACTAAGAGAAAACTCCTACCCACATTGTGAAACGTGAGACATGCTGTAAGACTGACAGAGGAGGAGCGAGGTATTCTGTACGATACCATTTATATGAAATTCCCCAAATAGGCAAATCCATAGATACAGAAAGTAGATTAGTGGTTGCCAGATGCTGAGGGGAATGGGGAGTGACTAAGGGGTATGGGGTTTCTTTTTGGGTGATGAAAATTTTCTAAAATCAGACAGTGGTGATGGTTGCACAACTCTGAATATTCCAAAAACCACTGAATTGTGCATTTTAAAAGGGTGAATTTTACGGTGTGTGAATTATCTCAATAAAGTGTTTATTAGAAAAAAAAAGGATGCAGAAACGTGAGCCTAAGCATCTGCCACTAAACTTTTGCTAGGGAAATGCTCCTCCCTGCACAGTATATCCTTATGTTGAAAATTCACAATGCATATATTAAAAACTCTGAGAAGTCCTGCAGCAAAGGAAACTGACTGCTGTATTACACCCAGTTTCCCAAAGTTGTTGTTGTTGTTAGGTGCCATCAAGTCGGTTCTGACTCCTAGCGAAACTTACTTAACTGAAAAATATCCCAGCGCACCATCACCCTCTCCACGCAGCCTATTAATTATCACTTGGACTTAGTGTCCTGGAAAACACTAGGAAAATCCACTCTCAGTATTTCACAAAGCCAAAACAAAAAAGAGCATCTGTGGAACTGAAATGTACTAGTGAGAAATGAATTTTTTTTAATGAATTCTTATCTATTGTCTAATCCAAGAGGTATTTCACATGTTTAATGTGAGTCAACTAAATTTTTTTAATTTCCATTAATCTTTTGATAAAAAGAAAATTATAACCCACATATTTAAACAAACATTTCCGTTAGAAAATATACAACCTCACTTCCCCCAGAACAGAGACTTTAAAAATTATACTAGCTTTCTAGGGTCCGACCTGTAGCAAAAGAATGCCATAAGTTATCAATAATATGTTAACTATCTGAACAGCTAATATACTCTCCAGCTCCTATCTCGCCCAAAAGTGAATGAGTTCAGCTAAACGCAACAACTTGGATCAAGGTTATGAACATACCGTTGTGGGATAAAAGCAAATCACAGAATACATTTCACAGTAATCCAATTTACATGAATTACTAAAGCAAGTTTTTGTTTACTTCCTTTTTAGGGATAAAAAAATACATGAAGCTTTCTCTATAAAGAAAAGCAACTGCATGACAAAAGCAAAACTCAGGAAAGTAGTTAACTCTGAAGAGAGAGGACCTTCCAAAGAATGGTGATGTTCATTATCTTAAACACTGTGGTGAACACAAAGAGCTCATCTCTTTCTTGGAAATTATGCTCTAAAAGAAGATATGAAACTTCAAAATTTCTACAACTTAAATCATAATATAATTTGTCATCAATTCTAGGGAATATAATTTACCTTCTAAGCATGTTTATTTTTAAGTTACGTAAGAAAAACAATTTTATTAAAATAATTTCTGACACTCAAAACTACCACATAGCTATACACTGAAGAAGTATAACACACTTATTAACACACATAATTAATAACTGATCACTCCCACCTTCAACACTGACATAGATGTAAGCTCTATACCAGCAACAAGTTTTTAAAATATGAATGGCACTGAGTAATTTCAACAAATAAAATTATTAGTGTTACAAAAGTTATCCTAATATTACCTGGGACAAGATTCAAAGGTAATCTTCTAGGTGAAATTGCTCTGGGATGCTGCTTACTAATTTCTTCATAAATTTGAAGCCTCTCTTCTAAAGTGCCTATTATCAGTAAATATGTGTGAGATACATAGCATCAAAACTTTATCTATGATAAAACTCTAATAAATCTAAAATTATGAAACTGTAAACAAAAATTGCATTATCAATATTAAAACTGCTCTCAATTATTATAAATTATTATTATTATTAAAAACTCTGCAGTGATAAAATACTATATGTAATCAGTAAATCACCTTTACTAACCAGTCTCCAGAGAAATCCAAAACTACTTTCATCTCAACAGATTCTACATTCAACTCAAGACATACACACAAGACACACAACACAGACTCAAGATACATTGTGCTTGTCTTATATTCCTTAGCACACAGCCAAAAAAAGAAAAAGAGAACCATCCTTTGTAACAAATCTTACATAAATACTCTAACCCAATGATGAGTACACGTATCCCCACACACCTACGGGCTTAAGGAGCAACAGTTTTAGGATCAAAAATGCAAATGTTTTATATTTGAAAAATGAACTAAATTTCTGTGGTAGCTTTGATACTTAAAAATCTTCAATGAAACTTCATTATCAAAAACCTCATTAGTCCAGATTGTTTTAAGTGGCAAACACTTCTCCCAAATATTATGATATAAAATATACTCCTATCAGAAAGTTGGATCTTTTCTCCCAAGATCAACCTAATTTTACAGTACCACACAGAGGATCTATATAAAAACTATGTTACTATACAACAATAATTTGCAGAGTGAGGTCTGGGTATAGAGTTCATTACTCTAAAGATATATCCTATATAATTTATCAAGCAAGATTACATGCATTATCTTATATAAGCAATTAAATAACTTATAGAAGAATTTTAAGAAAAAGTAAAACTGTAAAGTTTTCCGTGGATTTTAATTCAGACTACAGAAATAGAATTATCATCAGATTAACTCCCTTGGTGCCAGCAATCAATCTCCATAGGAAATGTAGTACTTAGTATCAAGACTACAAAAAACACTGCAGTTTAAGAGGTAAAGTTTGATTCTGTTTAGACTCCTTCCTTCCCCCAATAATACGTTTTGGAGCTCCAATGTGGTTGGATTTGAAAAACCGGGATATGTGAAAAATAATTTTCACACTGTGTTATGATTTGGAGACTTCATTAATGATCCTTATACTAAAATTTACACAAAGGCTGTTGCACAATAAAAAAAAATTAAAAAAAAAAAAAGCAGTCCTCAAATTTATGCCTAATCTTAGAGAATGACAAGCTTTAAAGTATAAAAAAACTTCTCCACTACCCCAGATATAACAAGTCCTATAAATGTGGTTAAACTGACATTAAGACAAAATCAAACCATTTCAATGCCCTATCTGAAGTCACAATTGGAGCTCCAGAACTTACCATGGGGGAGAAAAGGTCCTAAGGAACCTAAAAAGATAAAGTAGTGCAATTAGTTTTATAATTAATAAGTTAATACATTTCATAATAACCAAGGATACTGACGTATGGAACATTATCACATTCATTTTATTAAACATTAAACACCTTTATTATTAACTGCAGTGTCAGTAGCTTAAAGGAAAATCATAGCTATCCCATACTTTTAACCTTCAGGAATGATTTTTCTCCTTTTTCGCAAAAAGATTATTGACCTAATCAATATTTTAATTGTTACCATTTTCTTACTCAAGGAAATACAAATTTTAACAATTTGTGACATTAAATTTTAAGTACAAGCAGAAAATCTGGATTAATTTATAACAGTTATTAGTATACAACAAATAAGCTTTTCTCATAGCTCATAGTACTATAAATGAATATGGGTAACTACCCATTTACCATACTTTTTAATTTAAAAATTCTGCTGTTTCAACATTCTCAAGTTATAGTTTTACAATTATTTCAGCCATATATTTACTCATAAGCAGATATAATTTTAAAAATACTAACTACTCCTAACATTTAATTATAAAAATGTTAGGGGAAATTTAGAGTAATAAAACTACATTTCTGAAAATGGTCAAGTTTGTCTAATTTCAAGAGAAGCTGTGTAACACTGTGCTGTATAGAAATTAGTCTAGTATGAAATTAAGAGAATAATTTTCATACTGGGGGCTATATACTACATACTCTCAGCAAAACATCCTTGGCCCAATTCTTATGTTTTGAAGCTGAGAGTAACAGACCTTTGATTCTTTAAACTTATTAAACAACTATGACATTTTCCAGAAAAGGAATGTTCATTTTCTTCCCCATCTCTCTAGTTAGTCTAAACTGGAAAGAGTTTAATGGGCCAAGGAACCTAAAACTAACTGTAAGCATTCAATACCTTAAATGTAAATATATAAATTCAATTTCACTTCCACGGTTAACCTGTAATTTTACTAAATGGAAAAACAAGTACTAATGTTAAAAACATCTGTCTTCAAGTTACAGTTTTACATTTTATTATATTTCAAACACTACCTAAGGGAAGGTAGAAGAGAAAAACCTTTACATACTAAGTTGTAGCGCTTTTTCCAAGCCTTCATAATAACACCAGTTTTCTGCATTCCGATCAATCAAGTTTTTGAATACTTCACTGGCTTCTTTTAATCGTCCCAATTTCAACAGCATTTCCCCTAAAATTAAGTTTAAAGTCACATTCATTTTACTAAAACATCAAATACCTTTCTGTTCCCATAAAATTTTATTAAGCACTACTAGGGTATTAGATGTTTATGAAAGGCAGAACTCCATGTGTTTCCCTTTGGGACATACTGCAGTTTATATAACTAACCACAGATTAATTCACAGCTTGCCTTCAGTTATGAACCTGCCTTTACACATTCTACCAAATTACAGATATAAAACTAACTACCATCCATTTTTGGCTTCCTTCTGCACTCCAAATATACATGTAGCATATTAATTTGTTAATCAAAATCTTTGCATTACACACATTTTATGTACCCTTTAAGATAATTAAAGACTCCCTACACAACAAAGTTACACTGGTAAATAACTCTAATGAATATCCCTACCTTCCTACTGTAAGATTTTAATTTCCTTTCATGATCAATTCATATATTTAACAATTATTTACTCAATTATCTTAGTTTCCTTTCTGGGTCACTAAAATTAAAGAAGTCTAACTCAGTAAAATAGAGGCACTAAACATCACTTCATAGCAAGAAACCACATACATCATGTTAATGTGTGGTCACCTCTAAGTTTCAATTCCTTTGACTAAGCCACACAAACAGAAAGTGGGAATGGGAAATAGGAATCTGAACCTATGATACATATAATGGAAAGCACATCTAACTCAAGACATAAGGAAGCTTCTCAAAGAGAATACACCTCAACTTCCTGCCCCCGATATTTCCCATTCCTCAAATAATCCATTTCTAACAAAAAACTCTGAAAATTCTTCAGTCATGGTATTTTAACTCTTATCATCTTGGAAGAGGCAGCACAGTATATTAGTTATTATATACTATTATTTTACTAATTATTTATTGTCTATTATTCAAGCTCTAAAGACTGAACTAGATGATTACCAGCTCCACCACTTACTAGCTATGTGACCTTCAAAAGCCCACTGCGTCTGTAAAATATCCACTACCTCAGTCAGTGTTTGTGATGACCAAATAAGATAATTTACTTAAAGTGGTTAGCACAGTGAATATATATAAACATTTGTTACTGAAAACTATAATCATGTCCCACTCCTCCACAATTATTTTCTGGCCAGTCCAATTTTTGCCTTGCTTACCCTAGATAGGTAGCCCTGGTGGCACAGTGGTTAAGAGCTGAACAGGTTTGGTTTTTTGGTATCCTGGATAGAATAGACAAAAGCATATTTTTCATTTCCAAAAACCTATGTTATCTGCTGCCACCATGAGGCAAAGATTATCACTGGAGGAATACTCAAAATAAACAATTATACTTGCATATTCATAAAATAAATGAAAATATTTAACTCCATTTAAAAAGTTTTTTAAGGATCTTAATATGCTAAGGGATGAGCCTCGGTGGACAGTGGTTAAGCACTTAGCTGCTAACAGAAGGGTCAGTGGTTCAAACCCACCAGCCAACTCCATGAGAAAGATGTGGCAGTCTGCTTCCGTAAAGATTTACAGCCTTGGAAACCCTATAGGGCAGGTCTACTCTGTCCTAAAGGGTTGCTATGAGTTGGAATTGACTTGACAGCAGTGGGGGTGACTAATATGCTAAGGACTACAGAAGACATAAATGTGTAAATATCCAAGGTCTCTGGGTCTACAAAGTTCACTAAAAAATTTAAAAAAAAAAACACTATAATCTGTGTACATAAGTAATACAGATCATTGGCTCTATAGTCACATTAAAGGCCATAGAAGAATTCAGGAAAACAATACAAGAATGAAATGACAAAATAAATAGACAATTAGAAACAATACAAAAACAACTAGAAATCCAGAAGATTAACAATAAAATATTAGAAAGAGATAAAGTAATGGAAGGACACTGAAATAGACATGAATTAATGGAAGAAAGAATCATGAAATAGAGGACAAATCCCATGATACTAATGTGTTTAGAAACAATTAGAAAAAGGAATGAAAAAGAATAAAGAATGCCTAAAAGTTATGTGGGACAAAATCAAGAGGAATAATTTACATGTAATAGGAATTCCAGAAGAGGAGGAAAAAAAGGAAAAGTACAGAGAGAATTACTGAAGATATACTGGCTGAAAACTTCTCAAATATCATGAAACACAAGAAGATTACCAAACAAGAAGCTGAATGAATCCCACAGGATAACCAAAACCAAACCAAACCCACTGCCATCAAGTCAATTCCAACTCATAGTGACCCTACAGGACAGAGTAAAACTGTCCCAAAGGATTTCCAAGAAGTGGCTATTAAGTTCAAACTGCTGACCTTTTGGTTAGCAGCCAAGCTCTTAACCACTGTGCCTCCAGAGCTCCTCATACAAGATAGGACCCACCTCCCCCAAAAAATCACCAAGATATATCATAATCAAACTTTTGAAAATCAAATACAAAGAAAAAAATCTGAAAGCAGCTCGTGAAAAACAAAATATCACTTACAAAGGGGTACCAATAAGACTAAGTGATGATTTCTTCATCAGAAACCATGCAGGCAAGAAGGCAATGGGATGACAAATATAAAATCCTGAAGGAAAAGAATTGCCAACAAGAATCATATATTCAGCAAAACTGTCTTTCAAAAATGATGGAAAAACTAAGACATTACCAGATAAGCAGAAACTAAGGGAATTTATAAAACTCAGACCAACCTTACAAGAAATATTAAAGGGAGTCCTCTGGATAAAGAACCAATGAAATCACACAATGACATGCGATAAAGGCACATGACATCATCCAGACGTCTTAGTCATCTAGTGCTGCTATAACAGAAATACCACAAGTAGATGGCCTTAACAAAGAGAAATTTACTCTCTTACAGTCTAGTAGGCTATAAGTCTAAATTCAAGGCATCAGCTCCAGGGGAAGGCTTTCTCTCTCTGTCGGCCCTGGAGAAAGGTCCTTGTGATGCCTCAGTCTTCTCTTGGTCTCCTCTGCGCAGGAACCTCAGGTCCGAAGGATGAGCTCTGCTCCTGGCACTGCTTTCTTGGTGGTATGAAGTTCCCGTGTGTCTCTGCTCGCTTCTCTCTTTTATATCTCAGATTGGCTAAGGCACTATCCAATCTTGTAGATGTCATCAGTATAACCTCATCACAGTGACAGAGTTTACAACACATAAGGAGATCACATATAACCTCATCATAGTGATAGAGTTTACAACCCATAAGGAAATCAGATCAGATTACACAATCGTACAATAGTGGAAATCATGACCCAGCCAAGTTGATACACACATTTTTTTGGGGGACACAATTCAATCCATAACACCAACCCAGATAAACACTTCACAAAAGCAAAATAAAGCTAAAACACTGACCGTAGGGAACCAAAGGAATTAAGCTAAAAACAACGACAACTTCAAAACAGAAAGGAGGCATAAAAGATGTAGTTACAGAACTTCCATATGAGGAGGAAGTCAATGCAATTTCAAGACATAACAGACTGTTCTGATTTTAAGAGGTCCCTATGAGTCGGAATCGACTTGATGGCAATGGGTTTTTGTTTTTGTTTTGTTTTTTTAAGGTAAACTTCAGGGTAACCACAAAGAAAAGTAGTAAATCTACTCACCAAAACAAAGAAGAAAACCAAAAAGACTCAGTAAACATAAAAATAACAACAACAATTGATAGAAAAAAGTCATATATAAAAAGAACTCAGCACAGAAAATTAAGAGGAACAAAGAAACCATTAACACCACAAAAAGTATAACACAATGACAGCAATCCATCCATATCTATCAATAATCACACTGAATAGAAACAGATTAAATGCACCAGTCAAGAGATAAAGGGTGGCAGAATAGATAAAAACACATGACCCATCAATATGGTGTCTACAAAAGAAACACCTTAGACACAAAGACACAAACAAGTTAAAAATCAAAGGATGGGGGAGAAAACCTATCCAGCAAATAGTATCCAAAAGAGAGCAGGAGTGCAAAATTAATTCTGGATAAAACAGACTTTAAATCAAAATCTATTATAAGAAACAAAGAAGAGCATTATAGAAGGATTAAAGGATCAATCCATCAATAAGACATAACAATAATAAATATCTATGTACCCAATGACGGAGCTCCAAAATACATAAAACAAACTCTAACAGAACTGAAAAGAGAAATATATAGTTCTACTATAATGGTAGGAGACTTTAACACACCACTTTCAACAAAGGACAGAACTAGAAAGAAACTCAATAAAGATATAGAAGATCTAAATAACACAATCAACCAACTAGACCTCATAAACATATACAGAACACACCACCCAACAACAGCACAGTACACATTCTTCTCCAATGCACATGGACCATTCTCCAGAATAGACCACATTCTGGGCCTCAAAGCAAGCCTCACTAAATACTAAAACATCGACATAATACAAAGCATTTTCTCAGATCATAATGGTATAAAACTAGAAATTAGTAACAAAAAGTGCAAGGAAAAAAATTAAATACATGGAAACTGAATAACACCTTACTTAAAAAGACTGGGTCATAAGAGAAATTAAAAAATTCTTAGAATCAAATGAAAATGAAGACACAACATACCAAAACCTCTGAGCCACAGCAAAAGCATGCTCAGAATAAAAGTTATAGCAATAAATGCACACATTAAAAAAGAAGAAAGATCCAAAATCTGTGACTTAACCCAACAACTTGAACAAACAGAAAAGGAACAGCAAGAGAAGTCCACAGTCACCAGAAGAAAGGAAAGAACAAAGATCAGAGCAGAAATAAATGAAATAGAAAACAGAAAAACTGAATGCACAAAGCTAGAAGTTGGTTCTTTGAGAGAATCAATAAAATTGACAAACCACTGGCCAAACTGACGAAGGAAAAAAAATGCAAAGATGCAAATAAATAAGAAATGAAATGGGCAACATTACAACAGAATCAACTGAGATGAACAGGATTATTACAGAATGTTACGAAAAATTATACTCTAACAAATCTGAAAACCTGAAAGAAACGGACAAATTTCTAGAAATGCATTATCTACCTAAACTAATACAAGGAGAGGTAGAAAACCTAAGTAGACCCATAACAAAAGAAGAAACTGAAGATATCATTAAAAAGAGTCCCAACAACAAAAAAAAAGCCCCGGGCAGACGGCTTTACTGGAGGGTCCTACCAAACAGAGAAGAGTTGACACAAATTCTACTCGAACTATCCCAGAACATAGAAAGGGAAGGAATACTCCCTAACTCATTCCATGAAGCCAGCATTACCCTGTTACCAAAGCTAGAGAAAGACATTACAAAAAAGGAAAATTATAGGACAATATCCCTCATGAATATATATGCAAAAATTCTCAACGAAATTCTAGCCAATAGAATACAACACCATATCAAAAAAATAATACATCATCATTAGGTGGGATTCATACTAGGGATTCAAGGGTGGTTCAACATTAGGAAATCAATGAAAATACTTCACCACATAAATAAAACAAAGCAAAAGAATCACGTCATCATCTCTATCGATATGGAAAAGGCAATTAATAAAATTAAACACCCTTTCTGGATAAAAGCTCTCAGTAAAATAGGAACAGAAAGGAAATTCCTAAACATGATTAAGGACATATATACAACACCAACAGCCAGTATTATTTCAACAGAGAAAGACTGAAAGCATTCCCCTTGAGAACAGGAACTAGACAAGGATGCCCATTATCACCATTCCTATTCAATACCGTACTGGAAGTCCTAGTAAGGGAAATAAGGCAACAAAGGGAAATTAAGAAATCCAAATTGGTAAGGAAGAAATAAAACTATCCCTATTCACAGATGACAGGATCCTATATATAGAAAAACCCAGAGACTCCAAAAGAAAGTTACTGGAACTAACAGAAGGGTTCAGCAAAGTATCAGGGTACAAGATCAATGTACAAAAATCTGATGGATTCTTCTACACTAACAAGGAGAATTTTGAAAAGGAAAGCAAGAAAATACCATTTACAATAGACCCAAAAGGATAAAATACCTAGGAATAAATCTAACCAAGAAAGTAAACGACTTTTACAAAGAAAAATACAAAGCACTACAGCAAGAAACCAAAAGAGACCTACATAAACGGAAAAACATTCCATCCTCATAAATTGGAAGACTTAACATTGTGAAAATGTCAATACTATCCAAAGCATCTACAGATAAAAAGCAATCCCGATCCAAATCCCAACAACATTCTCTTAAATGGAAAAACTAATCTCCAACTTTATATGGAAAGGAAAGAGGCCTCCAACAGGCAAAGCATTCTGAAAAAGAAGAACAAAGCAGGAGGCTTCAGGCTCCTCGTCTCAAAACTTACTAGACAGCAATGGTAGTCAAAACAGCCTGTTACTGGTACAACGACAGACACATAGACCAATGGAACAGAACTGAGAACCCAGAAGTAAATTCACCCAGCTATGGATAGCTGATTTACAACAAAGGGTTCAAGTCCATTCAATGGTGAAGAGACAATCTTTTTAACAAACGGATATTTACTTGCAGAAAAATGAAACAGGATCCATACTTCACACAATACATAAAAAGTAACTCAAAATGGATGAAAGACCTAAATGTTAAACCTAAAACTTAAAAAGTTCCTGGAAGATAACATAGGGACAAGGGTAGAGGTCCTAATTTATGGCATAGACTATTAAACATAACTAAAAATGCACAAACAACAGAAGATAAACTAGATAACTGGGGCCTCCTAAAAATTAAATACTTATGCTTATCAAAAGACTTCACCAAAAAAGTAAAAAGAGAACCTACAGACTGGAGGAAAAAAATTGGCAATGACATATCTGATGAGTTTAATCCTAAAATATACAGAAAACTTCAACACCTCAAAAACAAAAGACAAAAAAATCCTGTTTAAAAAAATGGGCAAAGGACATGAATAGACATTTTACCGAAGAAGACACTCAGGTGGCTAACAAGCACATGAAGGGATACTCACGATTATTAGCCACTAGAGAGATGCAAATCAAAACTACAATCAGATACCATCTCACCCCAGTAAAAACAGCACTGGTCAAAAAAAAACAGAAAACAACAAATGCTGGTGAGGCTGTGAGGAGATTGGAACTCCTATACACTACTAGTGGGATTGTAAAATGGTACAACCACTATAGAAAATGGTATGGTACCTCCTCAAAAAAGGTAGAAATAGAAATACCATATGATCCAGCAATCCAACTAATAGGATATTTATCCTAGAGAAATAAGAGCAGTGACATGAACAAACATATGCACACCCATGTTCACTGCAGCGTTATTCACAATAGCAAAAAGATGGAAACACCTAAGTGTCTGTCAACAAAGAAATAAACAAATTGTGGTACATACATACAATGGAATACTATGCAATGATAAAGAATAATGATGAGTCCGTGAAACATAACATCGTTGAAGCTGGAGGACATTATGCTGAGTGAAATAAGTCAATCACAAAAGGACAAATACTGTATGATACCACTTTTATAAAAAGTTAACAGAAAGCAACATTCTTTGGTGGTTCACCAAGGATGGGAGGGGGAGGAAGGGAGAATCACCTACTAGATAATTCTGGTGAAGGGAAAGGCAATACACAATATGGGAGAAGTAAATACAACGTGACCAAAGCAAATGACACACTGAGAGGTAAGCAAGAATAAAGGAGAGAAATGCGGTAAGGACGATACCATATACAATTCTGTAACAACAGTAACAACCAAAAATCTGTGAGTGGTTACATAGGTAGATACGTATGCTACATAGCCGTGGGAGGGCACATGGGAGTGCATGAACATGCATATATGAGTACAGTTGTGGGTTACTGTTGTATGTGTAGTGGTATATTCACATACATAATAGGGCACATAGGGGGCACAGTTATCGAAATGTCTTAGACATAACCAAACACCTCATGGGACTGAGTTGCTGGGCTTGCAGGCTAAGGACCATAGTCTCAGAGGACATCTAGGTCAACTGGCATAACATAGTTCATAAAGATAATGTTCTACATTGCAGTTTGGTGAGCAGCGTCTAGGGTCTTAAAAGCTTGCGAGCAGCCACCTAAGATACAGCTATTGGTCTCTTCCCATCTGGAGCAAAGTAGAGTGAAGGAAAGCAAAGACTCAAGGAAGAAATTAGTCCAAAAGAAATAATGGCCTACACGAACCACAGCCTTTTCTAGCCTGAGACCAGAAGTAGATAGTGCCCAGCTACCACTACTATCAGTTCTGACCAGCGACACAACAGAAGGTCCCCGTTAGAAAGAGAGAAAAATGTAGAACAAAACCCAAATTCATAAAAAAAGACCAGACTTACTGGAATGACAGACACTGACAGAAGCCCCAAAACTACTGCCCTAATACCCTTTTAACCTGGAACTGAAGCCACTCACGGAGGTCACCTTTCAGCCACATAATAAGCGTAGCCTATAAAATAAACAGTAACACCCATGAGGAACGTGCTCCTTAGAAGAATCAACTAAACTAGACCAAATGAGCAACATCTGCTCAAAAGCAAAAATCAGAAGGCAAGGAGGAGCAGGGAAACGGGAGGGAGGGAAATGAGGAAGGCAGGGTAGAAATGGGGAGAGTGTTGACACAGTGCAGGGATAGCAACCAATGTCATGGAACAATCTGTGTATGAACTGTTGAATGGAAAACTAATGTGCTATGTAAACTTACACCCAAAGCAAAAAAAAAAAAAATTTGCTTCACCCTTTGTTGATAAACACTGTTAAAAATATTTATAGGGATCCTGCCTTCATAATTAGCCCATAATGAAAATGAAAGAATTTTGCTTGATGATTGATCCTAGTGTCATCATTTATTAGTCTCACAATATTTTACTATATATGGATACATCTGATACGAAAGCAGTAGAACATACTTCTGAAGAGAATGAAATCCGGAGTCAAAATGCCTGGACTCAAATCCCAGCTCTACCCAGTTTACTTACTTATGTGACTTTGGGAAAGTCACTTAACATCCCGATACCTCAGTACCCTCATCACTAAAATGGATATCATAACAACTGTATCATAAGGTTATTATGAGAATTAAGTTAATTAATAATGACTTAATAACAAAGTGCTTAGAATACTGCTTGACATATAGTAAATGTTATTTAAGTGCCACAGAATAAAGTACATAGTTCGGTTTTTTCATTGAGGCCATTTTAAAAAGCAGGCCAACTTACCTTTAATTTCTTCCACCAAAAGTTTATCACATATTTGTTTCTCGTATGTTTCTATATGTTCCAAGGATTCCTGAAATAGATCTGCCTCTCTCATCACTTGATTCTGGTACAATATAAGTTCACTATATTCATAGTCTATTTTGTTGGGAGGAACCTGGAAAAAAAAAGACCGAATTACTTGATTTATAATTACATAAAGTAGATACAAATCTTTAAATAAAGTACCTTCTCAGGAGAGTCATTATCAGACTTAAAAAAACAACAAGTAGCTACAACTAGGAGAGTGATTAACAGCACAAAGAATTAATATAACTTTTAAAACAAATAAGGGAGTGGGGCCTCTGGCTATGGCAAAGTGAAGAGGTCAGCAAATTCCATCCCAAAAAAACAAGTATAAAACTGGTTATAATCCTAAGGAATCTACAAAAAATACTAGTAGAATAAACAAGTTTAGCAAAGTCATAGGTTGCAAGATCAACATAAGACAATTAATTATATTTCTATATACTAGCAACAAACAACCCAAAAAAAGAAATTATGAAAACAATTTCATTCATAATAGCATCAAAAAATAACAAAATATTTAGGAATCTAGCATAACCAACAGCTATATACGAAAAACTACAGTGCCAAGAGAAATTACAAATCTAAATAAATGAAGAGACACCCGTTTCATGTTTCAGATCAGAAGACACAATACTCTTAAGACGGCAATCTTCCCCAACTTTATCTGCAGATTGAACAATTTATCAAATCTCAGCAAACTTTTTTGCAGACGCTGATAAGCTGATCCTAAAATACAAATAGAAATGCAAAGGACACAGAATAACCAAACTAATTTTGAAAAAAAAAAGGATAAAGTTGGAGGACATATTTTTCAAATTTCAGAACTTACTATAAAGCTACAGTAATCAAGACAGTGTGGTATTGGCATAAAGACAGACATATAGACCAATGGAACAGGATATAAGGTCCAAAAAGAAACCTTTATGTTTATGGTCAATTGATTTCTGACAAAGGTACCAAGGCAACTCAATGGGAAAAGGACAGTCTTGTCAACAAATGATGCTGCAACAATTAAGTATCCAGATTTCTGGAAAATGGAAAGCAAAAAAAATGACCTTAGACACACACTTCACATCTTATACAAAAATTAACCCAAAACGAGTCATGCACCTGAATGTGAGTGCTAAAACTATAGAAGAAGTTTTAAAAGAACAGGAGAAAATCTTTGCAACCTTAGATTAGGCAAAGATCTCTTAGCTATGAAAACAAAATCACAATTGATAAAAGAAAAAAATCAAGAAACTGGACTTCATCAGAATGAAAAAACCTTTCTCTTGAAAAGATGTCATTAAAAAAATATGAAAATACAAGTCATAGACTAGAAGAAGTTATCTGCAAATCATGTATCTGAAAAGGAACTTCTATCCAGAATATATAAAGAACTTTTACAACTCAGTTGTAAGACAAATAACACAATTAAAAAATATGCAAAAAAGTCAGATAGACATTTCATCCAAGAAGAAATAATAATGTCCAATAAGCACATTAAGAAGTTCAAAACCATTAGTTGTTAGGGAAATGCAAATTAACGCCATGTAATACCACTACACACCCACTAAGATGGCCACCATAAAAAAGATGGATAATAACAACGGTTGGTGAGGAGGTATAGAAATTGGAATCTTTATACTGGTGGGAATGTAAAACGGTTCGGCCACTATGGAAAATAATTGGGCAGTTCCTCAAAAAGTTAAACACAGACGTACCATACAATCCTGTAATTTCATTCCTATCATCTACCCAAGAGAAATGAAAACATGTCCACTCAAAAACTTTAGTGTACACAAATGTTCATAGCAGCATTATTCATAATAGCCAAAAAACTGGAAACAATCCACATGTCCATCAACTGGGAAATTAATAAACAAAGAGTGGCATATCCATATAATGGAAGACTATTCAGCACTGAAAAATAATGAACTACCAATACCTGGTCTACTATGGATGAATCTCAGAAACATGCCAAGTGAAAGAATCAAGAGAGAAAAGACTATATTATGATTCCATTTATTTGAAAAATCCCAGAAAAGGGAAATCTATACAGACAGAAAGCAGATGTGTGAGTGCCTGGGGCAATGGGTAGGAGTGAGAATTGACTATAAATGGGCACAAGAAGACTTTTGGAGCAATGAAATGTTCTAAAACTGGATCGTGATGATGGTTACACAATGTTATCAATTTACTAAGAGGAAAAATAATCACTGATGAACACATAATGAGTAAGTTTTACAGTATGTAAATTATGTCAATAAACCTGTTTAAAAATATACATATGAGAAAAACCCTAACGCCTGAATTTAATCATCTAATTGTAATAATTTTGTGTTTAAAAGGAAAAATTTTTTATGAAACTCACTAAATGTGATACAGTACACTCTCTTTTGGGTAGGAATTCATTCCCAGATAAAGACAAAGAGCTACTCTCAACAGAGAATTCTCTAGTTTGAGGTAAAAGGCCAAGAATCTAAGTAAAGACAGTGGATTATCTCCTCGCTTATGGGAATAAACAAAAATAACAGATTAAAAAAATGAACCCATAAAAACAAACAACACTCAGACAGACTGAGAGAAATGCAGAACAAAATTCAAATTCCTAAAAATGGCCGACCTACTGGACCAATAGAGACTAGAGGAACCCCAGACACTATCGTCCTAAGATACTCCTTGACGTGGCACTGAAGCTACTCCTGGAGGTCACCTTTCAGCCAAATAACAGAATGGCTTTTAAAATAAACAATATCATCTGTGAGTAATGTGTTCCCTTAAGCAGTCAACTATATGAGACCAAACAGTCAACATTTATTTACCCAAAAGCAAGGATGAGAAGGCCAAGAAGGGAAGGGAAGCTAGATCAATAGAAACAGAACAAACAAAATGGAAATAATGAGAATGCTGACACATTGTGAAAACTGTAACCAATGTCATGGAACATCAGCATAAAAATTATTAAATGGGAACCGAATTTGCTGTGTAAACTTTGACTTAAAACACAATAAAAATTGAAAAGAAAAAAAATAGAACATAAAAGATTTCAACAAATTTCTGGAAGATGGAAAGCAAATGAAGAATAACTGATGAAGTAGAAAGGAGGAAGCCCAAGCCTAAAGTTCCTATAACCCTTTAAAGGATGATTTTATTTTGGGGGCGGGGAGGGGAATTTTTTGGTGATGCCATGTCTTTTCACTAATGGAAAGGATGCTGAATCACTGTTTGCTGGTACTTTTTTATTATTTGAAAAAATGGGGTGCCAACTGCAAGCAGGCCATATCAGTCCCATGTTCCATGAAGTACATCACAAACGTGGTACACACTGGTCCCATGGCCCAGAAAGCGCATCACAAACAGTTTTCAGGAAGGTGAGCACTTTATAAACATGTTACCAGCGAGATGACTAATGCAAGTGGGCCACATAGTCCCATGCTCCGTGAAGCACATCACACACATGGTACATATCACTCCCATGGCCTAGGAAGTGCATTACAAATTGTTTTCACCCAAAAATAAGTCATTTACTTGAATATTTCTGAATGTCAGTAACCATACCTTCCCAATAACACTAAGGAATTAGTAAACATACCTGCAAGCCTTATCTTGCTTTACAGAAGCCCCAAACCAAACCCATTGTCGCTAAGTCGATTCCAACTCCTAGCGACCCTATAGGGCAGAGTAGAACTGCCCCATAGGGTTTCCAATGAGCAGCTGGTGTATTCAAACTGCCGACCTTTTGGTTAACAGCCAAGCTCTTAACCAATGTGCCACCAGGGCTCCATACAGAAGCCAAAAGACACGAAAGTTTCACACAATCACCCCTCCAGAAAGCATGCCCTCACATGAAAGGCTCTCAACACTCAAATGTAACGCAGACCAACTTCCTTGTTTTTTAGGCAGTTGCACGAGTGTTCTCTACAACACTAGAACATACTGAAGTGGCTCAAATGCCTGCCAATAAACCTCCAGGAGCAGAAAATGTAGCTGGAACATATATGTGCCATCGCCTGTTATTAGAGTTCCCTTAAAGAGGAAAGCATTAGGGAGGGTGCCTATCTGTCCTGGAAAGCCCCAGATAGGGTCAGAATTCTGAAATGCCAGGTAAACAGAGGTGGTAGGAACGAGTCATGGGGTTCAAAGTTGGGAGAGTAACTGAAAGTCAATATATAAAATATCTGACCCGCTCCATATCCCATCTCCATCAACTCTGCAGCCAACCCCATGTTCAGAATGCCCTGTAGCCAAGCATCCATCCAATTTGGAAAAGTAGAGAGCTGTGCTCCAAAGAAAGTAACTAGCCCTAGAGAATTGGATGCTATGAAAAAAGAAGAGGACAAAAAGATCTTTTAAAATTACAAACATGACTGTTATATAAAAATTACAATAAAAACATTAGGAAGTAAAATTGTGACTGACTATGGGGGTAATAATTATAGAAAACTATACACATATTAAAATTCACAGAATTCTATACCAAAAAAGATCAACTTTAATGTATGATAATTTTAAAAATAGAATTAAGAAGCAGCCTAATTTTCCAGAAAGCAGGATCAAGAAAAAAAAGATTGACAAAAGAGAGAAAAAAGGAATAATCTAGAGGGCATTATCAGACTAGTAAATGTTTCAAACAGAGGAAATAAAATAATTCAAAAGAAATGATCTAAGGAACAACCCAAGATAAAGTCTGAGAATTCAACAGCATATCTTTGGCTGAATAGATTTCTCCAGCTAAACAAGCCCACTAAGTGCTGAGCACAATGATTTAAAAAATTAAGATCAACACCTAGACATATCCTGGTAAAGTTTCAGAACACCAAGAATAAAGAAGACTGACTGTTCTGGAGGAGAAAAAAAAAAGATCACTTAAAAGGATAGCAATCAGGCATCAGACTGCTCGTCTGCAAAACTGAGTACCTTCAGAGTTCTATGGGAAAATGATTTTCTCCTTAGAATTCTGTAACAACTAAACTAATGATCAGGTCTACAGGCAGAATAAAGATATTTACAGATATACAAGGGCTCAGAAATGTATCTCCCAAAAACTTTCTTAGAAAGTTACCTGAAGATATATTTTAGCAAAACAAGGTAAGTGAAGAAAAC